AGACAGACAGACAGACAGACAGACAGACAGACAGACAGACAGCCAGACAGACAGACAGACAGAGACAGAGACAAAGACAGAGAGACAGACAGACAAAGAGAGACAGACAGACAGAAAAACACAGAGAGAGGGAGGGAGAAGGGGTGGGGGGTAGGGTTGATAAGGAGAGACGGGAGAGAATGTGAGACAGAGAGAGATAAAGAGTTAGGAACACACACACACACACACACAGAGAGAGAGAGAGAGAGAGAGAGAGAGAGAGAGAAGCGCTGTCTGAGAAGAGAAAGGAGACATGACGTCAGGTCCCACTTGCGGAAAATGACGGAACAAATCAAAATTACAGATTTCTGTAAATTTACGAAAATGTCCATCCCTGCAGGAATAATCGAGTAAAACACCAAAGTCGGCAACTGAGGACTAAAAGAGTCAGGAATAATCCTGTAGCCCTACCACTACCAGCTGAATGTATTGTCAGTTAGCAACCGAGAGGGATCAGGTACAATGAAGCAAAAAATAATTATAATGTCTACGTACGTTTGCAACTGACATTACAGGAGTCAGGAATGAATCAAGCAAACAAGCTAGCCAAAGAAAGCAACCATGATGCATGCAACAGGAGTCAGGGATAATCAAGCAAAATAAATGTCAAACAAAGATAGAAACTGACAAGAGTCAGGAACAATCAAGCGAAATAAATGTCAATCAAAGATCATAGAAACTGACAGGTGTCAGGAATAATCAAGCAAAAATATCGAAGAGCAACTGTCATGAGTCAGAAATAATGAAACCAAAAAAATCCCTCAAATTTTCCCAGGCAATTATTCAATATACATAATCCTGCCTGGATTACGGCGCAAATGACCCAGGTTCGATCCTCCCTCTAAGTGACATATCTTTGAACCTGAGTGGTTTGGGCGTCGGGAGTTCCCAAAGCTATCTCCGCCATTCCTAGTTCTGTCCTTTAGAAAATAGACGGTCCTGGCCTCTTAGTCCCAAGTGACCAGCTTACAATGCTAACAGAGTTAAACGTCATAACATTCGGCTGTAACTTTGACAATAGCCAACATAATATATTGATTATGGTCCTAAAAGCACTCAAATCCATGACCTTCTCGGCCACAGCAAGTCCAGCAGCCCAACTGCTTGGCCACAGATGAACCTGAAGTTTCCTTTGGTGGCTATCGTCAGTTGAAAACTGCTATTTTTAGATTTTCTCTTCGTCGCACCTATCGGTATGTTGACCTAAAAGTTTTTTCATGTACTTTTGAGGGCGTAACTCAGAGTTGTACCAATATTCTATGTTCCGTAAATGAAGGGAGATTACAAAATAATTTTTTAAAGAGGAATGCGGAAGCAAGGAGTTCAGCGAGTCTACTTCCTGGGCTTTTTACGCATGCGCATATATCGAAGAGCTACTGCAGTCTAGAAAAATCAACATAGCGGACACTGTAGTGTATACAAACGAAAACTGACCACCCCTTTTGTGACACTCGACTGTTATAAATAATCCTTCTTATGCACCCAGAACACGTGCATAATGTAGCAGGCTTATCCTATAATTGTTCGTTTCGACTTGTATAAATGCAAGGATCATCCTGAATTGTGTTTTCTGAAGTAGAATCTAGTAAGAAGGCGGAGACGGGTGTAAAATGGCCGCTGCCGCGCCTCAGCCCGACAGTGTGTCGCACGTTTCGGAGGCCCTAAGCGGTCATGGTGTTGATGATTATGACGTCGAAGGTGAGAATTCAATGTATTGGTATCTTATATCTGCATTTATGCTGTGATGGGATAATTTCACCAAAGGTTTGAAAGAGTACTTGGGGTGTTTTGCTTCTACTTCATTGATTTAGTCTGCAGTGTTGCAGACCCACCCCTCAATCAAGCCTGTGTCTGGACAACTCCCAAGTCACAAGATTGACAATTACTTTAGTTGACTACACTGCAAGTACAGACAGTACACTACACTGTCACACCTTACACGCAATGCATGAATTAAGATTGGGATGTACCACGCTTGTACACATGTGTTCCAGTCTGAGTACAAACAAGTTCAACATTTGGCCCCCTTGGGGAGGACTTCCGACCATAACGAGCGACCACTATGAGACAGAGTCGGAGCAGAATTGAGGGCTTGGGGTAGGGGTAAGGGTAGGGGTAGGGTTAGGTCTAGGCCTCTTCTTTATTGTGTTTGATTGGGTGGTCGCTCGTTACGGAAGTCCTTCCAACATTTGGGCTAAGCTCGCAAACTAAATCGAAGTAAAGCTACTTTCTAAGACTAGATCTAGATTTAAGACAAAAGTAGGCATAGAATCTAGATCTAATTAGTAATCTAAGTTCTCTTACTCATCTCATCTTAATATAACTATGATCTGTCATCTTCATCTCTACAATTACAATCTCTTCCCTGTCTCCACAGAGTCCGGATGTGTTCTGTAGTTCAAGTCTACTTGTTGATTGTTAGGCCAAATCTGGTTCAGGCTTCTTATCTTGATTTAGACAGATCTGATGGTGTGTGCAAGTGCAGTGTTACGTTACTCTTGATACGAGTGATACCCTAGGCCACAGGATTGGCCTAGGCCACAGGATTGGCCTAGTCCTAGATAAGGCTTGCCGGGTGGCCTGTCAGTTGGGATGCATTTTATAGTCACTTTTTGATTTTCTCAGACTTGCTACGTATTTCCGTAGTCAGTTTTCTATTCAGCTTTCTGTTGGGGTTGGACTGCTTTGCCCCCAAGAGTGCTAGAACATTGATATGATAGTAACTTAAACACTTTCTGAGCTTGAAATAGACAGCGGCACCGCGGCAATTTGCCTTGGTGCCTTTACAATTTGCCGTAATGCCCTTAAAATCAAAGGGTTAACCGCAGCAATTTTTGCAGTGCCCTTGCTTTTTGTTTTTTTTAAATGTACCACCATGAAAATAAATATTCCAGTGCTGTCTCTTTTGGAAAAAAGAAAAAAGAAAAGAAAGTTATACACGAGCGTCTTGTCGGGTTCGCTGCCGTGGCAGGTCAGTGCACCTTAGTCACAAGGTACCGCATCGTGTGAGCACCGGTTGTTGGGGTCACCAAAGTTCATTCAAAGTCTGAATGCCGCGAGGTATGGGACTCCGGAATGGGGGGGGGGG